TTACCATCTTATCATAGTCCATTGGTTCATGGATGAGAAATCTGAAGTTCAAAACAGTTAGGCTATATGTCCAAAATAATTCATTTTTTTATGATGAGATTTACATCACTATATTCCAGCTCAAAGTATAGTACCCTTTCTATAACATTGCATTGATTACAAAATTACACAATACAGTGAACATGCCTCTTGTGTGCATTTAACTTACATAAATGGAACCATATTCATTCAGCATCTGTCAAAAAAAGACAGAAGGAAATTGATAATTTTAAAATGCAATTAATGAACCCTGACTTAAATCCACAAGCATATCCTCAAGTGAGCATAAGCTGTGAGTTATCTACTCTTTCACTGGTTAATTGCAAGTTTCAAGGCCCACAAGATCTCTCATGGTGACCATCTTCTGACTCTTGGTATGATTCTAGTGTCTTATAATTTGTTGGGGTTTTTTTTGTACGAATCTAAGCTCAGGACTTCATTGTTGTTCAAAGAAACATTAATCTCTTTGAAAACTGAAGTAAAAAACTGGCTATATTTGATATCACAGAACTGAGAATTTTAGGTGAACTTATTTCAAACATTTCTCATGGATTTTTAAGGGAAATTGGTACTAAACATAGCATGGTTTTGTTTCTTTGCATTGATTTCATAATGTGGTCTTTATCTCTTCCCACTTTCTACTCTTAGTAAAATTGGACTTCATACTTTCTTTATTAATAACAGCCCCTTTTCCCTAGCAATGCATGACTTAATACTTAGATGAAAAATATGTTTATTAAATATTTAATCTCTTATTTAAGTGCTCATTGCCTATACATAATACTTTCTCCTCTCTCTGTGGTCATAATCATCAGTTTAATTCATTTGGGAATTCATGATCTACATTAGCCCACCTCACTTTGGCCTCATCTCTTCTTTAAATCCTTTTATGACTAATATGTTTATGGCTTACCTCTACACCTAGACTTTAAATTACTTGAGGGTCAATATTTTGTACTTTGTGTCTCATTTCCATAGTGCCTGTGTACTATGTATACAAGGCATATAATGGATACCTCTTCTTTGGAACAAATGCATGGAAAGACACACCCCAATAGAATGAAATTCCTTTTTGTTAATCACTTTAGACAGACCACTGCAAAAATGCTAAGGGTAAAACAATTTCAAAGAGAAAGAGGCATCTTAAATCTTGAAACTGAGCCCAAGAGAGGTTCACTGGCTTGTCACAAATCAGACTGCTAGTGAGAGTAGAGGGGGACCTCGGGTTCCACATGCCATGTGCTGGCACGGGTGGGCATGATTCATTCACTAATGGATTTGCACTGCTGCTGCTCGCTGAGAAGAGAGATCAGGCAAGCCTTTGCACAAGCTGTTCCCTCTGCCGGGACATCTTTTCTAGGCGTTACTCATTCATCAAGATCAAGGTTAAATGCCCCCCTCTCTGCCTTGAGGTGGAACCATCCTCAAGTAAAATTTGGCTTTTCCTTCCCTGGGTTCATACTCTATGCACTATTTTCCAGTGCTCCATCACAGCCCTTATCAGCCTTGGCAGTAAATATTTGTCAACTTGTCTGTCTGGTTTTTGTTTTTATTTTCACTGAAATGAGAATACTTTAAAGAGAGAGACTGTGCTCATTTAATCTCACTATAACAAACTCTAATAGGTGTTTAAATAAATAATTTAATTCTCCCCTTTACCAGTTGAATTTATTCTTATGAGCTTTTTAAGGAGAAAAATAATTTGAACCTTCAAATTGACCACAAGATACCTCACTGATGTATAGAATCTAAAGTCTGGTAGGGCTCAAGGATTTATTGCATTTGACATGGACATTTGGAAATTGGGAAGCCATATCTTTGCTGCTGTATTTCCTCCCATTGGGGTGCGTAAAATAAACCAATCATTCTTTCAGAATCTGCCTTGTGAGTTTCTGAAAGTGCTTCACACAAGCTTATAAATTATATCACCTCTAAAGCTCTGATGTGCTAGCTAGAGGTGATTCTATCTCTGAGGCTTTGTCTACAATCATCAGCTAGTTTCTTTGGCTTGGGCCCCAAGGAAGAATTCCCTCATCCACCTCTATAAGCTTCCAAGCAGCTGAGTGGTCACAAATTAGATCACAAATGAGCAGACCAACCTCTCAATTACTGGGCATCTTTACTTCCTTTTTCAATAATAAAGAGAAGCAGGGCTCCCCTAGCCAAGCTAATTCTCTTGGCATTTGCACGTGTACAGCTGAGTTTGGTTGACAGCTAGATGCCCTAGGCTCTGGGCTTTGAAAAAGCTGGCAAAGAAGTGAATCACTTCCTGCAAAGCCTTGACAAATCCTTGTAATTTTGTGGAAAGATGCTAACAAGTTTGGCCTGTGATCTTCTATGGCAATGCCTAGGAATGTTACATAGTCCCACCAGCCTAAAGTCAACAAAAGCCCTGGTGAGTGGTCAGAAGATTTCAGAGATGTATAGCTTTGGCATTCTAGGGCTAAAAGGAACTTTGGGAACCCTCATGATATCTCTATACCTTAATCTTTAAAATACTATTGATTTCTCTTTCCCCTTTCATCCCATCATGACCAAGAAGGTACCACCACCTGCAAACTAACATAGGACATCATTTCAATATCTTTCTTCTTCTCTAGTTCTCTTGTCACTCCTTTCCTTGTACTCATTGTCCATAGTATGTGTTAATTGTCTAACTGTGCTCCCTGTACTTGGTCTCTCACTTTATCTCCGTCCAATCTATGTTATATACTCCTGCCATTCGGCTTCCCAAACCATGGCAGAATATTGAAGAAAGAGGTAATAATTTGAGTCAGCTAAAAATGACTCAGAGGACCTGCTGTACCAGGTGCATGTCCTTTGATCTCTAGGCTTCGGTGCTTCTATCTATTAAAAAAGGGAGTATATATCCCCTAATGAGACTATTGTAGGATTAATATTACATATTTCAAACTAGAGGGATGTGTGGAAAAAATGGATGCTCTACTCCATTATTATGCTAATAATTTTGCTCTTTTCCTCAAAAGTCACAATGGCCCCCTATGTTTGGAGGCATAGATATACACACAATAGCTATGGAAAATGATACATACTATATTTATGTATACATTACTTTATATATACACATGCACACACACAGGGATCTCTATATCTTGGCTATAATGGGTTCTATATTTCCTATAGAAGAAAATCCAAAATCCTAAATATATATTCAGGTCAGAAATAAGAAGGTTCAATCCATCTCTCTCTTCAGTTATCTTCCACTCTGTCTCTTCAATACTGGATGTCTTAGCCAAATCACACCGCCCACATGCCTCAGGCTATCTTTCCGTCTATGATTTAATTCTTGCTATTCTCTCCACCTAGAAGAACACTTTCCCTGTCTCAGATTGTTAGGAATCCTCCCCATTCTTCAAAGCCCCTTGAAAATTCTTCCTCCTCCACAAACTCAAAATTAATCACTCCCTTGCTAAATGACAATTATACATTATATAACCTCTCTGGTATTTGTCATTTTCCTCCTCGTATTTTTGTTAATGCACAAACATGTACATTCTGTCCTTCAGAGCAGGTGCTATGTTTTATTTATCTTTCTACCCTCGGAAGCATGTACAGTGAATGGCATTAGCATATGAATCATACATGTTCATTGAATTGAATTGAATAAAACCTTGAGCACTTGGAGGTTGTAACTCGTGTATTTCAGTCTTGGTATCATCCATGTCTAATACTACTAAGCTTCTGCATCCTGAACCCCTAAGAGAGTGGTGAGCATCTCATGGACACCTGTGATTTGGGGAGGAGTCTGGGTGTTCTTCCCTTCACCAATGGACCCAGCTGAACGTGCTCCATGGAGGGCTCAGGATGCCAGCTTTCTGTTCCAGTCTATTGTGTACCAAGGGCAGAACCACGACTCATTAGAAATCCGACTGTGGGTGCAAAGAAATAACCACACATTCTTGATTGGTACAGTAACAACACAACAAATTTCTAGAGAATGACCCTAGGAAAAATGCCCTGTTTCTCACCTACAGCTTCACATTCAACTTAAGAACTGAAGGCACTTTCTTCCTCTCACGTTACATTTATTCATAATCTGAAATTGCTTGGGGGCTGTGATGATTGCCAAGTGTTGTGCCGCTGAAGTGTCACACATTGACACATGTGAAATTTATCATTTCAAGAAAGAAGGAGGGATGGCAAATTCTGACATTTCTGGGGGCCAAATAAGATGAAGTGGTCTTTTATTATAGCAGGAGATAATTCAGTTAAAAATAAAGAAGATACAGATAACAGATTGGTTAAATGTGCAAAAAACATACAAAATAAGCCATAAAATCTGTTTATTATCTTTAGAAAACTTTAAGATTTATCTATTCATCTACTTAATATGACTGCCTACATTATGAAGATGCAGAAATAGATCAGGAAATCTATCAATTGTTATATGTCAGAATAAGGTTATAATATAATATAATGTGGAAGTCATAGTTTCCTCATCTGCAAAATGGAAATGAAAATGAAATTATGTTTACTGCCATATTTATCACTTTAATTATTTATTTATTGGTATTTTCATACATAGCATGAGGTTATGCAACACACACAAAAAGTAAAATTATTCATGCTATGTGCTTAAATGCACTCTCAGGCATATAGTAAACATCTGATAAATGATAGCTAAGGGTAAAGATGGAGGAGGAAGAGGAAGAGGAGGAGGAGGAGAATGGAAAAGATGGCTATAAAATATCAGTTGATTTCTAAGGGAGGCAGCTAGGATCTCCTGTGTGCAGCATAAGGCTTAGAAGCAAAAACCCTGATTAAATCTGACTGAACTCACTGGCCATATTATTTTCGTAAAGTTACTAAGCATTCCTGGGCCTTGTTTTTCTTCATCTGTAATTTTGAGGTGATGTTATATACCTCACAAGATTGTGATAAAAAATCAATGGTAAAGTATATGAAAATATATAGCACAAAGTTTGATACATCCTACTCACCTCCAAGTTGGAAATGGGCAAACTTGCACTGCAGAGAAAATTGTTAAAGAAATTCATATCAAAGTCCAAGTATTAGTTCAATGTCCCGTATTTGATTCCATGATCTTCATAGGAAGGTCTTCTGCAATAGAATATGCTCCCATACAGCCGAGATATTTAAGGTTGCTTGATTTCCTTACCATTACTCCACTGCAAGCTTCTGGTGTAATCCCACATAGCAAGTCAGTCTTCATTGTAACAGGTCAGGACCGGCCTCGACCCCTTTTCCCTGCCAGTGGCCTCTTTGTTGTTGGGCACCTCCTCTCACACCACGAACACCTCTTGCTGATCCAGGACCTCCTCTCTGTGAATAACCGGCTCTACTGCGGGAGAAGCAGCCCCACGACCTCTGGATGGAGCAGCACCCCTTGCTCCTCTACCACCCCTTCCTCTAGCTCCAACTTGAAAATCTTCATAACCATAGCATGGATCTTCATATCCACCACGATAGTTATGGTAATCATAGCCATAATAATCATAATAATCTTCATATCCATAATAATCTGGAGGATATCCATAACCACCTCTACCTCCACACCCTTGACCTCTTGTTGGAGGGGGCATATGAGGTGGACCATAATAGTAGTAATCGTCATACATTTGATTCTTTGCTGCTTGCCTCTGAGCTTTGAATCACTTTTATCTTTACCAAAAAATAAATAAAATTATAAATATAGCAGAGCAGAGTCAGAACAAGCTCATTTGTTTCACAGGTAAGCCCAGACACAGTGCCAGCCCTACATCTGGACCAAGTCACTAGTCACTCCGTGGTATATTTTGACAAATACCAGGAAGGTCTTTTCATGTAATCATGAAATTTCACTAATAGTAGTGGTCTGTATTTCATTGACTCTCTCTCCATGACCTTTTAAATAAAATGTATTAATAAATTCTCTTTTCAAGGTTTTAACATGTCAAATTCTTAGTGCCTTCAAAAGGAAAGGAAAATTCTCTCAATGAACAATTGTTTAAGCATGTCTTCATGTTCCAACCCCTAAGCTAAGAAGGAATTCCTGGTTGCTTTCAAGATTCAGACCTTGCACTGGTGTTCTAGAGAAGTTAGAAGAGGTTGTGGCACTGAAAACAGAAACAGTACCTAAAGCTGACATTGCTCCCTTATTAAATGAAGATCCATGGCTCTGGGCAAAGCAGAAGGGTTTGGCATGCTGAGGTCCCCTACTGTAATAATCATATCGAGCATTAAGTGGCTTGTATCCTGTAGATATTAGGAATTTAACTTAACAGAAAGTTAAGAGTAATTGTCCTTTATTTCACATATTTCTAAGAGTGCTGGGGAAGCGAGAACATGTCACTAAGTAATAATTCATAAAACTAACTATCCTGGGAGAATTCTTAACAACGTGCATGCGTGGAAGCACTCCTAACTATGCATGACAGGCAATGAGAAGTCATTGAACTTGCAACATTGAGGGTATTGAGATGTCCTTGCAGACCCATTTACTATCCCAGCTGAATTCTATTTCCTCCCTGTTCTTTGATTCATGTGCAGTTGGCCGCCCACAGAAAGCTCCAGAGCTTCCGATCCTTTCCATTGCTGGCACTTGGGACAAAGAAATGCTTGTTTTCTCCATCTCCTCCTTTTTACAATTCACCCCACCCCCATCTCCAAGTTGTTAACCTGCTCTACCAGAGCCAGGGAGAGGGAATTTAAAAGAACATATAAAAGAATGGAGAAGGCAATGGCTGTGCCCAGATTCCAGCTTTTGTTCTCATCTCAGGCCTTAACTGCTTGCTCCATTGACTCTGAGAAATTGGACACAGAAGAAGGAAAGATTTGATGCTTGCTGATGTTATCAAGAGCTTGCCCTCCAAAGACACCACTTAGGACCTGGCCTGTTCAGAATTACCTTTTCTTGTAGGTGAAGTGCATCAAAAGGGCCAGCCACAACTTGAGGGCGAGCTGGGAATCTTCTCAAGGTACCATATGTTAGCAGTCAATTATGACAAAGAGCAATTCATTCCATCAGTCTTGGACTGGTCTCCTCCTTCCGATCAACTGTCCAGTGAGAAGCCAGAAGGACACAGGTGTGTGCTGGAGCTGGCTTGGGTAGGTTCCCAAGAGCTGACTGTGAACATCTCTTCTCAACTCCATGTACAGTGATGGCCAGGGAGGTAGAAATCAGCCACCAAGGGGGTAATACACGATGAAAATCAGCAAGCATAAAAAATCTGGGTTTTTCTTTTTTCTTTCTCCCTCCCTACCCCTTTCTCCTACTTTCTTCCTTTCTTCCTTCCGTCCCTCTCCTTTCTTTGCTTTTCTTTTTTAAAGTCCTGGAGAGCCAGCTGTCAAATATTTACCAGAATGCCAATGAACGGAATTTTTTTCTAACACAAATCTGACAAGGTAACTCTCTTGCTTAAAATGTTTCCTTCTTGACTTCACAATAATCATAAATATGAATTTTTCTGCCTTCTAATTATAAATTAGTTAAAATTATCTCTTCAGGCTCATCTATCCCCAATTTTCCCACTCAGAGTCTGTACCACACCATCTCATGGATTTTTACTGTGGCAGGCTAAAAAATGGTCCACAAAGGTATCTACTGCATAATTCCAGTCTCTCATGAATGTTGCCTTATATATTTTTGCAAGTGTGATTAAGTTAGGGATTATCCAAGTGGACACTAAAAGCAGCCACATATATCTTTATAAGAGGGAGATAGAGGAAGATCCTCACTGCATGCAGAGAATGTGCTATGAAGGTGGAACTAAGAAAGATTAGAAGATGTTGGCCTTGAAGGTTGGAATGACACAGCCATAAAACAAGAAATACCAGCAGCTGCTGGAAGCTGGAAAAGGCAAGAAACAGATTTTCCCCTACAACTTCCAAAGGGTGTGCACCAACATTTTTATTTCAGTCCAGTGATGTTGATTTCATATTTCTGGTCTTCAGATCTATGAGAGGAAAAAAAAAATTATGTTTTACTTAAGCCACCTAATTTGTGGTAATCTGCTATAGCAGCTGCAGGAAACCACTGTGCTCTATCTGCCACATTCCTTAATCCCTCTTCTCTTCCCCAACCTTGTATTTTCCCTTCGGGCCTCCGCTTCAACATCAATTCTTGGCCCATGCCTCCTGTTAGCCGACGGGCTGGACTAGGTGCTTTTTATTCTTCTTCTTCCTCATAATACTCTCTATTTCCCTTTTCCTTAACCCTTATTCAGACATGTGGTTATTGGTTGTTCAATCCCCCACCCTCACCCCAGGCCAAGCTTTTCCACAGCAGGAACTTTGCCTTATGAAGTGCATTGAAGGCACTTATATATTTGTTGCAGAAAGGAAGAATGGGAGGAAAAAAAGCAAGGGATGGATTTTTACAGAAATTCCATATTATTAATTGTTTAGTAGGAAATTTCCCTAAGAAAAATGAAATATTTACCTGGATCCTTTGGGTCAGCATTTGGGGAAACATGTACACAAGGCTTGATGATCTGTATGTGACCCAGATGGTCCACAGGAGGCCCTGACCTGGAGCAGTGGGCTTCCCTCACCGGGCTGTCCTTCCCTCAAAGGGCTTTAGATTCCTGTATGAGTTTTCTATTACTGCTGTAACAAATTACCACAAATGTAGTGACTTAAAACAACACAAATTTATTATCATACATTTTTCTTCTTCTTCTTTTTCTTTTTGAGACAGAGTCTCGCTTTGTTGCTCAGGCTAGTGTGAGTGCCATGGCATCAGCCTAGCTCACAGCAACCTCAAACTCCTGGGCTCAAGCGATCCTACTGCCTCAGTCTCCCGAGTAACTGAGACTACAGCCATGCACCACCATGCCCAGATAATTTTTTCTATATATATTAATTGGCCAATTAATTTCTTTCTATTTATAGTAGAGACAGGGGTCTCGCTCTTACTCAGGCTGGTTTCGAACTCCTGACCTCAAGCAATCTGCCCGCCTCAGCCTCCCAGAGTGCTAGGATTACAGGCATGAGCCACCGCACCCAGCCTATTATCATACATTTCTGAATGTCAGAAATAGACAATTAAGTTGTTGGCAGGTTCATGTTCCTCCTGGAGGCTCCTTGGGACAATTTGTTCCCCTGCCCTTCCTACTTTCTAGAGCCTGACTATATCCCTTGGCTTGTTGCATCTTTCTCCATCTTCAAAGCCAGCAGTATAACCTCTTCTCTTCTCTCTGACCTCCTGCCTCCCTCTATTAAGGACCCTTGTCGTTATATTGGACCCACATAGATAATCTGGAATAATTTCAATATCCTTAACTCAATCATATCTGCACAGTTCCTTTTACTAGTCACAGGTTCCAGGGATTCGGATGTAGATATCACTGGAGGGCCATTTTCCAACAGATAGGCAATTATCTTCTGTGTTTGTTAAGGCAATAGCATAAGAACCAACTTGATAGACCATAAATGCACGAGAGTATTTTATACATTATATGCCACCCAGACAGCACAGTGATGTTGGGGATTGTTCCTTCCTTTCTGTCTGGCCCTGTCTCCTTCCTATACAAAGAAGATTGATTTCTTATATATTCTGTGGATTTCTTAGACATCAGAAGAGCAAAACACATACTCAGCTCTCATTGTCTTCATTAAGGGGGGCCTCTAAGGAGTCCTCACCTGGCTAACCACAGCTAACCTATGCAAATGTCTTCTTGGGCTCCCTACAGCATGCATCCAGAGCAAGAGTCTTATACTCAAATGTCCTCAGGGGCCAGACAGGTAATACAAATGAGAGAAGCTGGCCAGGTATGTGACAGGTGGAGTGATAAGGACTATGACTAATGAAAGAGGTCTGCTCTACACAAAGGGTTTGAAGTTGAATGTTGACTTAAACATAGTGACAGCCAAATGAAACACAGCAATGGGCTGTATGTTGTCTCTGGTCCGACCATTTAATTCCTGTGGGAGAGTCTGGGTGAGGACTTTATTTTTGCCATCTCTGGCTGCTGCTCTTCTGTGGGTCCCATCTCTCCAAAAAGAATGCACACTCCTGTGTGAGTGCACATATGGACAGAGACTTCCATATCTTCAAAATTGTATTTTATTCCACTTACATATATATTTTTTCCAAGAAAGTTTCTTCATGTAGCCATTTTTATTAGACAATGCATTGAAAATTCTGCCAGCCAGCTTCAGTAACATGATTATCTATTAACTCCCAAAGCGGTGTGGTAATTATTTTGTTTTCAATTATTTATTTATCCAAAATTCATTCAAATATATTTGTTATTTCAGTTCATAGGTCCTGGTTGAAGTTTTGGTAATCTGAACTCTTACCTCTTCTCCAGTGATTTCTTCATGAGGAATTTTATATAATAGGATCACAGCCATTTATAAATTAAATCAGCAATTTGTAAATATCGGGAATATGAAATACTTCATTACAAGCTACTTCAGTGTGGACTTTTGGGGAAATATGAGTTGAAAAAGAATCAGCTTAAGATTTCAGACTTAAGTGAGATATCTGGCTTCCAGAGTTCCCACCTTTGCTCTATAAATTGAGGTTGCAGCTTAGCTGCAAGCAGGCCTAGAATTCACTCATGCAACTAAATTCAAGGAGCAGAAGAGACAGCCAGAAATCAGGGAACAGTCACTGTAGAAGTGCCTTCCCCATGAACCCTAAGAAGTAAGATGTTCAAGATTATGCCTGAGACTGGAATTTTAAGGCATATAGCACTTCTGCTCACTAGAAACATGGCTCAATGAATGTACTGGGCTCTGACCAATCACATTGGAAACTTTAGAGAGGAGTTAGTAAGGAACTTTAGTAGGACATGATGCATAGGGTCTGAGTTTTCACTCCTGTGTCAGTATACTTGGGAGAAAAATATGCCCCAATCTTCCCTGTAGGATTGTCTGAGGTCACAAATGTGAAAGAACTACTAAACTGTACAGATCTCTACAAGGAATGGCCATTTTCTCCAAAGGTACTCTTGATTAAATTCAATTCCAGCTTTTAGCCTTCCTCACTAACTCATGGTAGTAATAAAAAAACCTTTTTGGCTGGGCGCGGTGGCTCACGCCTGTAATCCTAGCTCTCTGGGAGGCCGAGGCGGGAGGATTGCTCGAGGTCAGGAGTTCGAAACCAGCCTGAGCAAGAGCGAGACCCCGTCTCTACTATAAATAGAAAGAAATTAATTGGCCAACTAATATATATAGAAAAAATTAGCCGGGCATGGTGGCACATGCCTGTAGTCCCAGCTACTTGGGAGGCTGAGGCAGGAGGATTGCTTGAGCCCAGGAGTTTGAGGTTGCTGTGAGCTAGGCTGACGCCACGGCACTCACTGTAGCCTAGGCAACAAAGTGAGACTCTGTCTCCAAAAAAAAAAAAAAAACCTTTTTTTTTTTTTTTTACTAGAAGTTGGGTCTGAGCTGGGACTCAGAAACATAGAGCTTTGCAGACTGTCAGCAAGTCAATGAGAGTGATTGACTCCAGGTACGCTTGCAGCTCACCATAACCCAAGGGTCCTTCTTTATCCTGGATGCCTAACACCTTGCCAGTCACTCTTCATTGATGATTCATCCCTTGGCCTTGAACGTGCTTCCTCCCTTTGACCCCAATGCATCTCCACCTGTTTATCCTGCCATTCACTACTTTCTCCTTACCCTTCCTGCCTCTTACCTCAGCAATGACATCAAGGCAATAGCAGCAAATAGAGGTTGGATTGCCAGGTGGTGGAGGTTTGAAATGATTTCCCTTTTGACAATGCCTCCAGCAACTTTGCTCTCCTGTATGTCTTTATCTCTTAACACACATGCAAAGCCACAGCCCAAACATGTACTTAATGCCTTCCCCAGAATTAGGGGAGGCATTTGCATCAGAGTAATCACAAAACTGTCCCAAACTGTAAGTAATTTCGTAGAATCTGAATGGCCTCAAAATGTCTTCTGTCAACAGCAGAGGCTCAGGCTTCGGGGCTAGATGGACATTGGTCCAAAACTAAGTTTTGCTATTTGGAAACTGTGGTCTTGGATGAGTTACATAATGTCTCTGAGCCACAGTTCCCTCTTCTATAAAATGCGAATAATTATACATCTTTACTTATAGTTTCTGCATAAGTGGCTACTGAATTGTAGACAATAAATGTTTGTTGAATGAAAAATTAGGTGGAGATTGAATGAGGTAATGCATGTAAACACTTGGCACAGTGCATGGCACAAGTTGTCAGTGTAAAATGACTATTACTTATATATAGTACTTAGTCTGTGTTGCTATAACAAAATATCTTAGACTGGGTAATTTGTAAACAGTATAAATTTGTTTCTCGTAGTAATGGAGGCTGGGGAGTCCAAAATCAAGGCACCAGCAGGTTCAGTGTCTGGTGAGGGCCCCGTCTCCAAGATGGGACCTTCTTTCTGCATCCTCAGGAAGGGATGGATGCTGTGTCCTCATACAGAGGAAGAGAAGGAAGGGCAAAAGAGCCCAGCTAGTTCCCTCAAGCCCATTTATAAACCACTAATCCTGTCCATGAAGGTGGAGCCCTCATAGCCTGATCATCTCCTAATAGCCCCACTTCTTAATACTGTTGTATTGGGAACTAAGTTTCCACATGAGTTTGGGAGGAGACACAAACATTCAAACCATAGGGATACTGCTTCACCCCTAGTGGCTTTCTAGGTCTCTTTCTTATGCTTCCGTATCTCTTTATTTTTGTAAGAATTTTGCAGAATGATTGAAAGTATGGGCTACAAACTTGGAGTATCTGGATTTGGATTCTGGCTAAATCAGCTGTGTAACTTTGGGCTAGTTAGTTATATTTTCCTGCCTTTGTTTCCTCACATACATGATAAAGGTAATAATATATAGTTCATACAATTGTGGAGATTATGTGAGTACACATGCATTATGCTTAAATCAGTGCCTAACAAGTAATACCTACTCAATGAAATTAATTTTTATTTGTTAATTAGTAGAGTCTCTCTAGCTTGG